TGTCTGTTATACTATTAGAATTTATTTTGAAATTATTTATTTATTTATATAAGCTATGAGATAATACAAACGTGTTTCAAAATACCATCCAAAGTGCCCATACAGAGTGAATGTCATTGTTTTATGTGCAGGAAGTCTGTATATGTGATTATTAGTTTATCGATCTGTAAACCAAGAGGAAGAACCTTGCCAAATGAGATATTGAAAGCTGCAAACCAACATGCTTTACACATTTACCGTGTGTGTATCCTAAAATTAGCAGCTGATGTTTCGTGATATTTTTCATTCACTTCGGTAGTGTATTGTAATATGTTCAAGTGGGTCTTTCGATAAGTGATGACGATAATTTAATATTCTGTAACTGTGTTACTGTCGACAATTGTAATTTTTGCGAGAAGAACAAGGGAACGGGGAGAAGGTGATTGTAGAACATTCTTATACAATCCAAAGGATCGCTTAGCCCTCTGATNTATACAAAATAATCACTAAATTATTGTTTTTTTTTAAATAATATATTTAATTGTTTCTGAAGAATTTTTATTTGTAATTCTTTGTCTGTCTAGTGCATGTATTTTGTGTGCGATCCCTTGGAAGCTATCGGGAAATTTCTGCTGCCATGCTTTTCTAGTTTTGACATCCTCGCTAGAGTATCAAATAAATTGAGATCGAGCTTGAAAACAAGGTTCAAGGAAGATGCCAAACATGGTGTTTCGCATCTTGCTCTTTCCATTCGTGTCGCAGGTGCTCATAATTGCGTAACTAATTGATAAAATTCTTGACTAGACTTTGTGTAGCTATAAATCTTAAACGAGTTAGAATAAACGATGCTTACATTAAACTGGACTAATGGATGGAATGAACTGATCGGTGGAACAGATCTTTATGAAAGTTTCTTCCAATTTCTATGTATTTCATGTCAATTTGGACGAAACCGATGATGAAGTATTGTAATGTGAAGTCGATTTTTCTTTAGATTTTTTTTCACATACACATATTTTACAAGCAAAGGGTTAAGCAGTACAGTGAAGGTGTTTCTCAGGCAAAGCCTGCATATGAAAACAGTGCAATGTAAAGGGATCTACTTTTCCACAATTCCTAATATGGACTTAATCAATAAACGAGCTTTCCGTCTTAGATGTAGCCGTTGTCGAGGAAACACGGCAGCTCTTTGCTGTATATGCATATACATATATGTATATATACACGCACTACACACATGTATGCATACGTCATGTGTCGCGTCTGTATATGTGTGCATATCTTGTAAAAAGCATTCTGTTCAAAGACTTATATCAGAGTGATTTGTCGCTCTGTTTGTAAAGTCACTGTAAATGTATATTATTTCTAGCGTTGTGCCTCGTAATTGCTTCTATGTGAGTTGAAGATCGTGTATAATAGGAAATTCGAGAATGCTCCATTCTATCGAACTGCCGATAAATTCTATTCAATTATAAATTTCGATTTTCCTACCGACATTCCGAATTTCCTTCGAATCGTTCTTCGAATCATCACTTAGAAGCAGACTCATTTCTGTTTGTTTCCTTCTCCTCGACGTTGTTTGAGTATCATTCTGGAAACAAGCGAAAATTGCTGTTCAGTTGTAAATATAGCGTAACGTTCATAATGATAAGGGTAAACAATAGCCTTAGGGGTATTGATAACATTATTATCATTATTGATATTCACAACTACGCGATAGCTTTAATGATTTATCGTACGATCGGCAGTTAATAAAACTCCAAGGACTTCGCTTGACCCCATTTTCCTGGACAGTTTGATAACGTGTATAATGGTCATGAAAGTCTTGGAAATTCCATTTATACAAAATGTATAATACACGATATTGAGTATCTTTGTACGTTGCATTGTTCTCTATACCGCATAGAGATTAGTGGCACGTCCGAAATTCAATTGTTTATGTTTTTATGAGTTAAAGGAAGTTGCTTCTTTGCGTTCTGGTAATGCGTTTTTAATTATTTCTTAAGAGATCTTTCGTACAAAGATAACTTTACACTTAATAGAAGAAAGTAACACGCTGAAGATGCCATATTTAGGAATACTTTACTGATAAGAAATTGATAGTTTACGATGGAACATCGAGTCATTTTGTACAGGCGTTGTCATTCTTATTTTCGTTTTCTTAATAATGGAATGTTTCTGATTCTGAGTCGAAAGCTCTGGTTGTGAGATAAAAGTCGACATGCGCTGGATTGATTGTCACATGCAAGACGTGGGAAGTGGGTATAATTGGCATTTTTCTTTCTTGTCGAATGTAAGATCTAAATATGTTGTAAGACAACATTTGGCGGTCAACAAGCAGCAATTTTTTCACCTATACGTAGAAGTTCTCTCTTTCTCGTGGGGAGTTAACACTCGTTGATAGTCTACGCTTGGCGTTTTACATTCTTACTTTATATAGTTTACATCCTATATGGATTAAAAAATGAACAATTTCGTTAAAAACAGTTTCTCATTATTTATATTTAAAAATGACGTAATATTTTTTATAAATAAACACTGAGATTGTAAATTAATAAGAAACGATGTGAGCATATCTTTCCTAAGTAAATTAGATTTTATGTTGTAGGTAATGATTTTTCGTGAATCGATGACTTCCGTCTTTCTTTTTATTGAAGCATGTAATTTATACTTACTGCCAAAAAAACCAGATGTTTCCAGTGAAGTTGCCATTACGCAAGACCGACTGTTGTGTATAGAAATAGAGAACGTAGTGTGTAGGGCGCTGAAATTAATCGATTAATAGTAAAAATAAATTAATACGTTTTTATATTAATAAATTGATAGTCATGTAGGATAATTGGATAAGTCGAACGAACATTGATATTTATTGTCCATTAATCGATTAATCGTGCAGCCTTGGTAGGAAAAATCGCGAGGAATCACTTCTGTATCATATCTTTTTCACAGTAACAGTAGAGTTCGTACGCTGATCATGATGCGTAGGGATGCGTACACGTCACGAGTACAGGGCACCAAAAAATTTTCTACGAACCATTTCTTTTTTTATTCTGATGCACATTAATCGCAACGTGACGTTTTGTGTCGACAAATTGTATCGTCATACTCTATAAGCACGGGCACGGGAAAACCGTGATACAACATAATAATGTGCGATCGCGACGTGGCGAGAAATGGTGCTGTTATTTTTCGCGGGCATAAGAAGCTTGTATATTTTTGCGTCTCTTGTTTGTAAGATAATCATTTACAAATAAAATTACAAAGAAACAAGACAGTTATATATCGTTAGTGTTTACTTTTTGTATACAAGTTGTTGCTATATTTTTCATAATATAAGGGGTATCTTATAAAACGTCTGAAATAATTATTACCATATTTACATATTTTATTTCTTTTTTTATATACGTGATTTTGTACAATTTGCGTAAGATTCGTGATATCTAGACGATTAATAAGAAACAGTTGAGTCCTTTTATCCTATTATTAACAGGATCTACAAGGATGGATTATTTAAAATTCGCATTTACATTTTCATTTACATTTACTGGCTTAATAAAATATATATTCTATATTAAGGCACCATTCATAGTATGAAAATGTACGTAGGGTTTCTTCGTTGAAGTCGATATTACTTTAGAATATCCTTCGTAACACAGAATTCAAGATTTATAGTTTTATGGCAATACGTAATATTAGTTTTGAACGCGATTACAGGTTTCAATAGTTTCCTAATCGTTGGACAAATGATAGCTTGCATGTAAAATAGAAAAGTTAATTTCAGTTGCGACGGTGTCACAACTTGCTATCTTTGATGACATTTTCCGGCGTATCTAATGCTCTTTTACGATTAGCTATAGCATTCATCAATTTCCGTTTGGGTCCAAGCGGAAGTTTTAATGCCGCGATGTCAGCTTCAGTTAGCAACATTAAAGCTTCTAAATCAATTTGCTCGGACTCTAAAACTGGATGTACCGATGACAAATTATTGGCAACCAAGAATCTTTGCAACGGCGTCCACTCCTCGTCAGTTTCTTCCTCTATAATTACATATTGTGTCTGTATAAGAATCTAACTGATATGTAAAATAAAATTTATTACATAGATAATGAACTTATGAGGTAAAGAGTAATTTTACCTGAAAGTACATCATCGTCCCACATGCTCTGCCGCCGAGCTAGACTACCTGCGCTTCCTATGCTGATTTCTTCGTTGTGTCCGTTTGTGCTAACTCGATGGCCATTTATAGATCCATTTAGAGAACCATTTACGCAGGTATTTCCGTTTTGTTCGAGTGTATCCGCTTGCGCGATCGGTAAGTTGTCGAAAGTAGTTGTTATCTATAAAATTAAAAGACAGCAGTCTTCTATGTACTGCTTTATATAAGTTCACATTATTATTTTTAAGGGGTTCTACAAATAAAATTAAGGAATTATCATTTTTATCTAGTATTTGTCGTAATATTGACGAACTTTTTGAGGATAATATTTTGGATGCAATTTATTATTGTAAGCGATGACATAATTATTTATGTTTGCGGCTATGCATATCATTTTACGATAATTAAATTGTCCCATATATTTTGTAGTCCTACTAAAGATTGTGTCTTATCTTATTATTCTACTTCGCTCACCGATCTACGAAATGCCACCGATCCGAAACCTGGTCGATTGAAGATACTCGCTGGTTCATGTAGCAAGACATTATCTCTTATGTCATTTGGATCTTCTCCGTCGTCTTGATCTAAATCCTCGTCGAAATTTCGATCGCTTAACAAATCGGGAGTACTTTGTGCTTTACTTAATGTGCCCCAAACATCAGAGATTTTCGCTCGCCTTCCTATTTGCTGAGCTTGCGTGTCATAAGTTCCTACGTACATTATTTCAGAATCCCTTCTAAGACCAGTGAGGCTACGTATCGATTTCTTTCCATTAACTTCAATCTAGAAAATTAATATTTTAAGAATAAGACGTCGGTTGTAAACTGTATCCGATTTGTCGTCCTATTTATTCTTTGATTAATGGAAGTGAATTTCTTGATTTAATATAATCGAGCTTATAAAAATTCCATGTATCTATATTACCTCTACTACTTTGAAATCGTCAACGGCTTTCTTCGCTAAAGCTTTTCTACACCCTGCAGTACCGTGTTTCTTCGTGGTGGTACCGACGATATCGCTGAACGTTGGTGAAGGCTTCACCCGACCCTTGAAGGTCAACATACTGCACTTGTGAGGTAGAATGCCGGTTTCGTTAACCGTGGCCAAGTCCAATTTCGTTCGATCTTTCGATAATTTCTTCTCCTTCTCGATTCTAATTTCTGTCATTTTTTGCTTCTTCATGTATTCCTTCAGCCTGTTTCATCAACAATTCGTATTTATTAGTTGAAACGTCAATAACGATGAGTTAAATGTTCGTATGATTATTTAAACACCTTTTGTCGGCATCTTTCTCAGCCTTCTCCCGAAGCATACGACATTTTTTCCGATTGTTTAACTCCTGATCGGCTTGGACGTAATCTAAAAATTGTAGGGTCACTTCTCTTCCATTTATAGCGGCTAAATCTCTAGCAGAATGTCTATCGATGTCCAACGACCAAATATTACAACCAAACTTAACGAGAAACTTGACGCAGTATTCGTGACCCCTTGCCGCTGCTAGGTGAAGGGCTGTGTTACCGAAATAATCGGTTTTGTCGGGATCCCCCCTACAGGAACAATCGTTAAAAAGTAAATTACTCCACACCTGTCTCTTTCCATTCACGTAACTCGAATTACGTGTGTATAACGAAGCAACTTTCATAATTCATGCGGAATAAGTAATTTCCTCTAGATTAAAAAAAAAACATATGTTTTTAACATGAGGAGATGAAGTGTGTGACCTATTTTTGTCTCGGTAACGAATGAACGAAATAAATGGATTTTGTAGCGTGACATCCTGTCACGCGATGTCACACGAGCGGAACAAAGCTCCGGAAGGACACCAGATCTTAATATTGAATTTCTATCGTTCTTCGGCTTTACACTGAAGCCAATTGAACGACATATGATCTTATTCACAGTGGGGCACGTGCGTTTTCAGCTTTTATATTGCCGAACGAACGTATTTATATATAAAATGAAACACGCCATCGTAAGGTGGTTTCAAATTGTCATTCAAAGCGATTTTAGGGAAAGAAAAAGAATTGACAGAACTACATAATACTGCACAATTAGAAAAATTACGGTAATATTGTAACGATCATTGTATCCGTTATTACATTAACGATGTGCTCTTATAAACTGTAGTATGCTATACCATTAAATCGTCTGCTATCCATAAATAATTAGGCATGCAGGGAAGACAATAGAATAAGAGCGATTATTTTACATTATTCCATTTGGAGACTTTTATATTTACGTTCTGAATTCAGAGTTAAGATACGATTATTACGTATATTCTGTATTATGTATATATCATTTCTGTTAGCAAACGATAATATAATAAAACTAGTTTGGAACGAAACCCCGGCACGTAAAATAACAATTTCTTGTTCCCTTATTCCGTTTCATCCTGTCACCGGGTTTTGTCCCATTCGTACTCGATTGTTTTTCACCGGTGCTCGCTTGGCCGTAATTTCCGTTCGTGGGGTCGATAGATGCCAGATTATAGCGTATATTTCCGGCTTCGTACACCTGTCATCGTTTAACACAAAACTCTCCTCTACGTGCAAAAATATATGTACGTACAACGTATGTACTTGACGTCGTTTATTACTGCAAGTTCTGTTGTTTTACCTTCGACGTTTACACGAAGTCTATAACACTAAAATTGTCGTGTCCACTAGCCATAACGACCTTGTGCTTAATTGTGTTACTCGCACAGTTAATTTAAGGCATGTGCAAATTTTTTTGTGAAACGGACGTCAGACATTATATATTTATTCTTTGTCATATCATATAAATAAATGTATTTATTCTTTGTCAATTTTTATGAGAAATAAAACTATCAGTATTGAGCATACGAGAAACATTCAATTGAATTTTCGCGCATGCCAAGTAGATCGAGAATCATTTTCGATAGCTAATGAATTGTTATCACTTTGCCGCCAAAACATGGCAGTCTCATGTGCCGGTTGACAGGAGTCACATCGCTTCCGTTCAGAAGTTTTATCTTTCCTCAATTATCCCAAGTAAGTTCACATAAATACGCATGTTAATACAAACGCATACGCATATTCTCGATAGTGAATAAATCGTTCATTAAAACAAGAAAGTAAATGCGTATATTGGCTACATATAAACATAGCCAAGTACGCGTCGTCCTTAGCGGCATACGTATGTATGTAGGGTTAAAATCCAATGATTTGCAATTAGCCGTACACCGAATAATTATTACTGTGATTGTGTGTATAAAGACCGTGCATTGAGATTGAAAATCTGTAATATATGAGTGTGCCTTTCATTCGCGTAATTAAATAAATTAGCATGTCCGTGTAAATGTTTTACGAAGCGATTCGATATTCCTCGCATGTATGTTCTTATAAGTAGCATAGTTTTGCGAACATACCCTCTGGCGACGAGCAGTCTCAGAGCATCTAAGTGACCTTCGAAGGCTGCCCATAATGTGGGGGTCATTCCACCGTCATCCCGCGCGTTACAATCTTTTTTTGTTGCTTCTTTTAAGATGTCTAAAAAGCCGTCGCGTGCAGCTCTATAGGAAAAGTAATTACGATGATGAATTAATTATTCTATAGATTGGCCTAGTAGACAATTGTTAAATTTCAGAATTATCAGTCTCGTTTGATCTCTACAATTTTTCGCTGTATACGTATAATTATTACATAGTTATCTAGCTAGTTTGTTGATAATTTTCCACCTGTAATTACAGTTAACAGTGTACATCTAGCACTAGGATAATGCGACATGGCACGTTATAGTTTTCTCCTTCGCTCGACTTTTCTTCTGTTAATTAGTCTTTCTCTAATTAAAAATCATTACATAATATTTAACATTGTTACTTGCATATGAGCTTTGTTACTCGAAATTTATATTTTAGACATAATACATTTATACGTTGTATTAATTTTGTGTTATTAGGTGTTTAAGAATATGGAAGAAAGATTGAAAAAGATTCTGAATATGAAGAATGAAAGCGAGGGTGTCAGAGAAAGTACGTATGAAAATCAGTTTAAACGAGTTCCTTGCATGATAATTTTCTCCGCGTTACAAATCATTTGCAATAAATGAGGCTTGACGATTTGTTACAGATTTATTAACTTTTCGAATTTAAATACATGTTATACGAAAATGAAATGTTTTCCTTGTATTAAACATCCTGTTTTCGATCTCGCTTCGCAGAAAGAATGCGCTACTCAGCATCTTTTGGAACGAATCTATCGCATCTCTCAATTAAGCGAATTTCTGGTTTCAGACGAGAATGATATGTATGCGGGTCTGGTGCTTACAAAAATAGATTGAGCGATAAATGCTTGCGTTCATTTAAATACAAATGTCTTTATGCATAAATCGCGCACGCGCGCGATGTACGACAACGATTTCATAGTTTTTGGTAAGTATTTTAAATGTTTAGAATGCTCAAGGCACAATATATAGCTCAGTCTGATCGCTAACCAGGCATGTCATTTTTTCATTGTAGCGAGAAACGAGAACCTCGTTCCGCAGCATTTCTCTACTGGCTATGCCTCAGATAGACATCTTGCTCAAGCATGCAAACGCGTATCATTTATAGAAAAACAAGAACGCGAAAACTAAGAATGGTATGCACAAAGTTCGTCGTGCATATAAAAGGAAACTCACTTGTGAAACCGCTCGGTCGTCATTTCTGTTCGTGGATTCTTCCGGAGGTCTGGCTACCGATGGCGAAACATTGCTGCAGCGGTAAGTTTTTCTGACACTTCTCGTGTAAAATAATCACTTTTAAATCGCTGTGATCGCGGAGGATCATAGATCCTTAATATTCTCGATAGAGTAGAGGAAACATACGTGCATTAAGTACCTATGGCGTTCAGCACTGTACTGCTCGAACAACGAAGGTGCTTGGACGATGTTCTGCGGCCCCTCACCCAGTCTGTCTCCTTTCCTACCATCAATTTGATAAGCCCTCTCTTGCTCTTTCACCAGTTCCCGCCGTCTCTCACCTGTACTTACCTGTATCGGTACCCCCATACGAATGCTTCCCGCCACCTGGCGTTCGGTATTCCATTGCATAAGTTTGCAACTTTCCTCTGCTCTATCGACAAACATTCATAATGCTTATCAGCGATTAATCCTGTATTTAGTTGTTCCTTCAAGTACAATATACTCCGCGACATATGATCTTGTTTATTCTCTCTTCTGACGTAATTTATGTTCGAATGATTTGTTCGGGATTGTTTTATTGAGATTTTATAACAAACACCATGCAAAGATTACACTGGGCCCAGAATTTTACAGTGATATATTCATTTATTTCAACACACTTGTTAAATACATAAGTGGCTTGCCGTTGAAATCGCTTATGTCAGATAAAGAAAACCGCTAGTACTGCAAAAAAGATACTCTTGAATGCACTTGAATAATGATCTCCACGAGTGTGCTTCTCACTATTTAATCCATGTCTTCTTGACGCATTTACTTATTCCTAAGACATTGACTTGAAATAATTGCGAAATTTATAAAAACTACGTTCTCGAAATGTATCATATTTGTATTGCGCATTTATTGCTTTTAATTAATTTCATTTATGCAAAGATT